CAAAGATGTATTTGTGAACACATTTCTTCTCTAACAGTGTAAGTAAATGGGAATACCTGTCATCGGTTGTTTTAGGGGGTGGAAGTGTGGTGGTTGAGATCCTGTAAAAATCGTAGCATTATTTTAAAAGAATATTAACATTTAATTTCTGTGCAGTGCAAGTTTTTAAAGTTGGGTTAAAATTTGTTGCAGTAATGCTGTAAAATGTGTATGACTGTACTCAATTGATACTTGTCTTACCGTGGTGAGCATGGACCGTCATCCTGATTTGTGGGAGGATGTGTAATCTGTACTGGTCCCACCTTAGGACATGGTAGAGCACTTCCATTAACTAGAGGAGTGAGATCTGTCAAAAGAGGAGAGTTCCAGTGATGTTATGCAACAGAATTTCCAAGTTGGTGTAAAGCGATTTAAACGTTTAAAGCATTTTTGTTGCAAACGTCCAATTCCAGTCATACAGTTTAGCTTTAAAAACAATTGCCTTGCCTTGGAAACTGAAGATGAATATGGCACTTTCTGCTTTGAGGAAGTCTCTGGACTTCATTTCTTCCAAAGACGCAAAATAGCTCCTGCCCATCAGAGGTCCAGCGAACATCAGCTCACCATTCTCATCTTTAATTTGCGTTCCAATCTTACGAGGATTGTCCCAGTAAAAGGTACCTGTTTACAGACACAACATAAAGTACAGTTAGTGGAGTTGGTGTTTCTGAAGGATTTCCTGATGTTCTTCTAAACTTACCACTGGAGCCGCTCAGATTTGCATCAGTCGTGATACTTCTTTGCTTTGACATCTGCAACTGGACTTTTGGGTTCTGATCCAGCATTTGGAAAGTCACTTGCCTTTGTGGGCAAGGCCACTCCAGCTGATCATCATAGTCACCAGACAAGAGCTGTACATACATTCCAATGTAGGTCCTGGAGAGCCTTACCGCTACCCGGTAGGCATAGCCCTCCCTGGAGTACTGCCGTGGACTGTATACAAAGGTTCCCAGCCTACTTGTCTCCAAAAGGTTCTCAAAATCATCGATTTGCAAGGTTATATGTGGACACTCGAGCTCAGACAGACTGATGTCATCGATTGAAAAGCCGCCTTTAGAGCTCCCTTTTCCTTGGCGAACCTCAAACTCCACCTGAAAGTGCTTGGTGGCATTCAGAGAAACATGGTGGAGCTTCCAGTGAGATGTCTGTGGACCTGGAGGGAGATTTTATTTTGATGACTACACGACATTACTTAAATGCACATTGCAACGAAGGCAAAATGTCAAAAATTCACTGTTAATTTGTCTTTAATATCAATGGAGTGCACGATACAGTCTCACATTACCAGTGATTTGTCCCATGAGGCGGAGGGTTCCTTTGTTGTCCTTTTCATCTTGAAATTCTCTGATCCAAATGTTAAGTACATCGGACTCACTCCCGCTGTGGTAATAGTAGAACTGAAGACACTGGACATGACAATCCCTTTGTGGACTTGTCATCTTGGTCTCCAGCCAGGCTGAGTCTCCAGGCTTACCTGATGCTGTGCTAGCGTGCATGAAGTAACTTGACTTGTCACCTGTTGGTTACCCAAAATGGTGTCACAGTTGGCCCTCAAACTTCATCTCTACGTATAAGCCATATATAGTCTTAATAATGGGATTTATAATCAGAATTTACATTTCAAGACTTTGCTCAAAACCTTGTGTCCCAATTCAAGGCAAAGAATCTCAAGTTTAGTTTGATTAATTTTAGTTTGGATAGCAGTTTAAAGGTAATGAGAAGTGAGGGATAAGAGGATGGGGAGTTACTTAAATAACCAAGAGCAAAAAGTTTAATCAAGATGTTTAAATTTCTTACCAGCTTTATTACTTCCACTGGGTAGACTGGTATGGTCAGAGCTAGGACCCCCAACAGCTTGTGTTACCATTTCCCAGCCATTGCCACTCTGTGAACACTGATTCATCTCACACATGGTCCCATTAGAAAAGTCACACTGCATCTTAAAGGCAATGGTTGAGTCTGTAGAGGTCAAAGTAGAACATAGGCTTAGACATAGGCTTAGACAGAGGCTTATTAACTGGTTAAAAAATGTGACTGCGACAATAAAACAATTCCTTTTTTTTTTTAGTAAATAGGATATTGCATTTAGAGTGATGAAAATGGAAATGAACTCAAAACCTACTTAAAACTGGCTGCTGGTTCTCCTAACTTTCAAGCACTTACTGCATTTGTAGAGAAGGTTCAGCTCCAGAACATCACTCGGACTCATTTCCAGTCTTTGGCCGATCACATCCTGGAATTTGGGGTCTTTGGTGATAATTGTAGACCCGTTGCCATTGGTGAATGCATTTTTGCTGTAGTGCATCACTGACTCGTAGTCGTAAGGGGTTCCCTGGTTGGTGCTGCTTGTACTGCTAGTTTTTCTAAAATTTCTCTCAAAACCTAGATGACAGACATAAAACAAACAATCAGTTCGTCTATACTTAAGTGAGATTAGCATAGATGATCCAAGCATCATTTACTAAGCATTAAATGACAATATTAGATCAGACAGATCATAGAAAATGAGTTTTACATTATTTTTAAGATTGATTGGTGGTTTAGTAAATACTATGGATAATCCTTCTTTTACAACGATTACTAATTGTTTGAGACACTGTTGTACATCACACACCTCGACATAACATATCTAAGGTAAATATCTTAATGTAAAGTACAAGTATTAATTAAAAGCAATAATTAAACCTGTTTGAATGTTTTCTGACACAATCGTCACAAAGTCGTCTCGGTCGTATCTGGACTGTTCGTGGTAGAATCCCAGAGCATGGAGAAACTCATGTTCAACAGTGGAAATCTGATCACAGTATCTCCCGATGGAGAGAACCTGTTCATCGCGTTGTACTCGCCCAACGAATGAAGAGCATCTAAAATGGGAACAGCACTGGTTAGTACTAATCACATTTGTACTTCTTTGCCATTTAACTCACTAAAGGCCTTATTTATCAAAGCATGTGCAGAACCATAAATGACCAGAACCTGGTTAAAAGGCATAACCTTTACAGTTATAACCACAGATACGTATAATAAAGGCTAGATGTCTTAAGGCGGTGTTTCGACCAGGATCACCCTTCGGCCACCTTGACACGGGGAAGCTCTCTGGTGGAACCTGTGGTACCTGAAGGAAGGTGAGTGATCTGCACAAACGTAAACACTCTTATCTCGCTGAAATCTTGACGGATTTACAAACGGTTTGGTTTCTTACAAACGTTGTTAACGTGGCTACAATTCAAATTACAAAATTACAAAAAAATAAATAAATAATTAAAATACAAATTGCTTCTGGCCGTGAGAGTGTAACATAACTATCCATCCAAGTGTTATAACTACACCTCTGACATTTATAACAAATCAAACCGTTTGAAAATTGGTAGAAAATTGAGCAAGTTATGGTTATTTACAAAGTACATGCACCACTACAACACAATGTTATGGGCTAGCGAGCGGACCGTACCAAGATGGCCGCCAGTGTGGCCGTGCGATTCCATTGGCCGACAGCACAGATGAGACATCTAGCCTTTATTATACATATCTATGGTTACAACAATCACAATAGAATCAGAAGCAATTGTACTTCCAAAGAAAAGCTATGTTTAAAATGAAATTGCAGTTTTATTTTCTGATATTTGGATTAGATATTTTTGCAATATTAATAAATCACCATAATGGCTCATAATGGCTGTCTAACTGTTACATTGGAAAGTTGGTTATATAATGACGATAATTACTTAAAGCTAAGTAGGACATTTAAAAACATACTTACCCGCTCAACTTTTGGACAGAAATGTAATTTTTTTCCAAATCCTTTGGTTTGAAGTCAATGCACGACTTCAACCTGAACTGGTCAAAAGCTCTCAGGACGACTCCTTTAGCATTCATCTCTTCAATTTTTCATTAGAATTGGGTGATAGACATAAACAGAGAAATGTTTATTCAATTGATAGATGTGATATTCTTGCTTGTGCATAATTCCACACAGCACTGTTCTCACTAACTCACTCTAGATGCTACAGTGGAGGCATGGTTGTTTTTTTTTTTTTTTTTACAAGTGAATGGTGCAAAACTACAGCATGTCTGTCGAGTATCTGGTTTACTTCAATGTGCTGAACTTGCTAGTTTGCCTCATTCAGTAACTTCATAATGCAAACACTTAGAGAACAGGTCCTAGAAGTGTGGTGCCAACTACTATAAATATTCAGTGTTTCTGTATATTTACCGAGGTCATCTCCCAAGACATATGAAACAGGCAATGTCCACCGTCTGCTCACATAAGAAGTGGCCCCCTTTTGCATACTTTGGAGCTAACATATAAAAGACATGTATTGGTTGACACAAAATATATACATGTTTTAATAATACATAATTTACTGAGTAAAAAATACAAAACTTACCTCCAGAATATCATCATGCAAATCTAAGATAAAACATAGAAAGTGAGTGTTTTTAACAGAGAAATCAATGAATAATAATTAAAGGTGCATTATCTCATATGAAGTTAACAAAACAACCTCATCAAAAGGTACATTTATTGTAGATGTTTAACTTTACCTTTGTTTACGTCTGTAATGTCCTTGTCTTCACCAATTTCTACAAAAAAACAGATGAAATACTTTGTTAGAAAGTAGCAATGAATTAAAAAATAACTAAATCATGAAATTTCATGAAGTTAATTTTGATGAAATAATAAACTTACCCACTGTCTCGAGTTCATCCTGCAATAAAAGAAAAAGAGAAAACTATCAGATTACATCAATATATGTAGAAATGCAAACAAGCAGCAACTCAGCTGCATCTCTTTGCTGGTGGTTTTTTTACACAATACTTCACACTTCATGGACTACACACACATCTCAAACTTTAAATTGTTCGATTAAAAATTTTAAGTCAAATGTCAGAAGCCTGTGATTATGATTCAGTATCATTTCAGATGTTAGAGTGAAGAAGAATATAAGTTTTATTCATTAGATTAAATGTAAAACATGTATTTGGTTAAAGTCAGCTTAATGTTCTTTGCATATTTTTGTAACGCTTTAAAAAAGCTGAAAATCAACGAAATACATAATAACTGAAAAACAACGTATAAACTCTTACCGAGCTGATGGAGAACGCTGATGAAAGTGCCAAGTTCACCATGAGCAGAACGTAGACTTTCATCCTCATGCTGTGTCTTCGACCAAACTGAAATCAACAGAGATTATATTGAAAAAAACATTTTAAAAAAATCAAAGATTGATGCACTGAAATGCAATCAAGCTATTACACATCAAATTTTTCAACTCAATTAGAAAACGCTGTTCTTGAAAATGTCGCTGTGTTTACCTTCTGCCACCCTGATCGTCTGTTCCTCGACTGCACATGAGCTGTGACAGCAGAGTTTTAAGCTACTGGTAAGGCATGACATAACTGTGCTATTGTTAGAAGTTATGTCAAATATCCAAACAACTTCTTTTTTGGTTTCATTGTTAAGATGAAAATCTTGTCTTGTCATCGACACTTTGTGTGGACCTGTTGAGACGTCTTTGACAGCAGCACAAAGGATCTTAAGCAATTCCTCTGCTGTTCAGGAATAGTCAGTTAAGCATCAGTTCTGATTTGGTCACATCCTAGTTTCCCGTTTGGTCCGGCACACTGTACGGAAGTTCAGGTACTGATAGTAATAATATATCTCTCTTAAATCAAAAATCATGTCCTAAACTGTACCATCCTGTCTCAAGTGTCAACCCTTTGACTTGATCGGTAGTTTTAACATCTTTGTTTAGAGAACCAGTGACCGGAAGCTTTTCGATGTAATTTAATCTTAACAATTAACCGAACTCTAAAAGTCTAAACAAGTTAATTGATGCTAAAAATTCTATACTGATGACAATTCTTGTGACTCAGATTTTTATTTAATGAAATTTACTGACAAGATGCCAGAAAAATAAGTAGTGTCAGACTAAACAATAGTCTAAGGCCGTGTTTAGATTAAAATGAGAGAACACTTTGCCCTTTTATTCATTTAAACAGAAAACACACTCGTACCAGTGCAGGCTTCTGTGGTAAAAGAACACAGGTTAGTCTGGTACAAAAGTTAAACCACCTTAACTTTTACTGCAGCTCTTGATGCTGCCTTGATCAATCACATACTGTCATGTAAATCAAAAAATAAGGAATAGTCACTGTTTTAAAAAGGATCAAATGTCCTAATATGCCATCAAATCCCATCATTTCCATGGAACTTACTTAGTTTTTCACATGGCTGCACATGCAAGTCCATGTTCACGGAGGAAGACTTTGTATATTGCCGATAAAAACTATTTAAATTTTAAATGTCCACCATCAAAAAAAATAAGTCAGAATATCTCGGTTGCTCATGCTGGGGCTTAAAAAATGTATTTGATATCACAAAAACAGAATAGATTGTAGACATGCCATTATATATATTCTTTATAGAGGATTTTAGAAGAAATTATCATTATTAATTTTGTACCAGGATTAGGTGGAGCATCACTTAAATTCATTTTTGTGAACACAGTGAGCATAGAGTACATTTAGGAAGCATTGTGCTTGACTGTTGTTTGATTTTGTGATAGATAAAGCAAAAAAGAAAAAGAAAAAACACATGACATGGAAATTAAAAATCCACAATGTCTGTGAACATTGTCTCTAACAAGCTGTGGAGATTTTACAGCTCCAAAGGCATTTTCGGATGCAGCAGAATAAGAAAATATTACTCACACTGATGCCTAGCCAGCATTACACGCACCAAGACTACAGATATGTAAGAGGTTCTCACATATCTTTAGTCCCAAGCTAATCCCTGCTAATAAAGAGTTCTTAGAACTCCCGCTGTTGAATGAGGGATGAAAGCACTGCCATTCCCCAATGTGTGTTTTGGTGTTTTCATCTTTTATGCACGGCCTAAAGTAACACAGGGTTTCCACATTAAAGTGGAGTTCATTAAAGATTTCAGATGGATGTGGCAAAAAGCATTTCAGCTCAGAACTTCACAGCTTATGTTATATGAGCCTTTATCATACATATTTTTGTTACAGGCTGTAAATCTGCTTCCAGGAAATTCTGGACAAGGCATAGAGCTCCTATGCTGCAGACCGGACGAATCTAGAAGAAATAAGTATTCATACCAAGGCACTATTAAGAAAACAGTAGACATTTAACAAATTGACTTTCAGCAAACAGACCTAATAGATTTAACCTTTTTGTAAAAATAATTTTAAAAAGAACTAGAAAAGTACTCTGAGCGCACAGACCTCATTTCCACCATGTTGTGATTTCCACCATATGTTAAAGTCCTGCATTCATTTTATCTACACTACTAGATTCATGGATAACCGAAACATAGCTTTAGCATTTGAATTAACATCGATGTCATTAATAACAAGCTGACAGAGTGATGAACGGTCGTTCTGTACTCTCAAATATTTTGTACACTTTGGTTATTTCTGCAGTTACTTACTGGCTTTGAAGCTGTTAGCTAACGCGATGCTAGGGTGGCATAACTACAGTGATGTTATTGCATAAACAGACAGGGAGTAACTTGACCGACACAAGGAAGGAGGCGTCAGTCACATGGCAAAGAGAGTTAAAGTGAAACAGGAGACATGTAGAGTCATTGTTGATGTCACAACATTGTTCTGAACTTTTCTGTCAGTAGCTCCGCTCAGCCCACTCCTGTAGTGCTGCCTGGCTGTAGCTTACTGCACTACTGAGAGGACAGCGGTGAGGACTGAAGGACTGAATGTAGTCAGAGCTCCATCTAGTGGACAAACGGCGCAATGACAGCATTCGACGCCACTGTGACACTTATCAGCATTTAGCATTTTATGACAGAATAACCAGATGGTGAGCCAGAACATCACCAAAATGTAATCATCTGTTCATTGTGCCATTATCAACATTTCCGAAAGATTTCATGAAAATCCGTTCATAACTTTTCGAGTTATGTTGCTATCAAACAAACCAACCAACAAACAGATAAACGCCGGCTATAACACAACCTCCTTGGTGGAGGTAATAAATCTATATTTAATTTAATTTAATGCTAAAATTTGTGAAAACTATGATTTTTCAAATACAGCATAAAACATTTACTCACTATTAGATGTGATGAAGATGCTACAAAATTGCTTACCTGCCAATGAAAAAAGGAAGACCGTGGCCCTCTTTAGGAAGTCTTGGCTCCTAATTTACTCCAGAGAGAGAAGCAATGTCAACCCACTGGCTGGATTCATGTATAAAGGTTCTTCATTCCTACATTAGTTTGTCTTCCAACAACACCAGGGTTGTCAAAGTCAGCTGTGGGAAAACAGAAAACATGGTGTTGGTGACAGTGTGACTAATGGTTGTATTCAAAAATTGCTTATCATGGACTAATGGGATATATATTGTAGAAGCTCACTGGATGATGGATCAGTGGTCAGAGTGAATCGTTTGGACATCTGTTTTTGGGTATGAGGGTTTTTGTGATGATGAAGGTCACCTGTCTCCATGGGCAAGGCCATTCCAGTGCCGAATCATAGTCACTTGATACTAAATGAAAACTAACTCCAAAAAATGCTTCTCGCAGAGCTATTACCATCTGGTAAGCACAACCTTCTACTGAAGACACCCGAGGGCTGAACAAATAACAGTTGTAGTCGGTGGTTGTCAAAAAGCCTCTCAAAGTCCTTAATTTGCCAGACATAATGTAGACACTCTGTCTCCGATAGATTGATGTCATCAGTAGAAAAGCTCTTGATTTCTGTTATGCAGGTTGGGCTGCATTCAGGGGAACGTTGTGACAGTTGCGTAACCTGGAGGGAAAAACAAATTTTACCAACTGCTGCTTGTGGCTATTGTTTTCTGTTGTCGCACTTTTTAAAATATTTGGAGCTACGCCACCGGCAAGTCTTTACGAACGGTCATGTCAGTCATGTCAGTCTCTCCACCACTTTGCTTCAGACTAAAATATCTCAAGAGCTGTTGGAATGATAAGCATGACCTGTTGAAAACTTGTCAAAGGTGCTCATGAGATGAATCCTAATGACGCTGTTGATGCCCTGACGTTTCCTGTTGCAACGCCAACTATCGAATGTTCCACCATGACATTTGGCATCGACGTTCCCAGGAGTAGTAGTAACATCTGATATGTCAAACCTTTCCTACTATCAGGTAAATATGTTTTTGGTTTCTTACTAAATATCTATCACGCTAATGGCATTCCTATTATTCTTAGCTATTCTTAGTACTTTTCGTGCTAGTTGGCTAAAATGCTAAGCTAAGATGGTCAACATGGTTAACTCAACATGCTGGTATTGTCACTGTGAACATGTCAGCATGTTGATGTAAACTCAAAGCACCACTTTGCCTGACTGCAGTCTCATGGAGCCACTATCTTGGCTGTAAACTGTTTTTTTTTGTTGTTTTTTTTGCAGATTTCCCTCCTCTCAAATTAACATCTCATCTTCCCGTCTGTTTCCTGTAGAGTCCCTGTCATCCTGGAGCTCTCGGAGCCAGATGTTTAGCTGATCTGATTGGCTTCCGCGATGGTAAAAGTAGAACTGGAGACACTGAACGGGACATTCTCTCAACTTCTTGGTCTCCAGCCAGGCTGAGTCTCCTTCCTGACCTGAAGCTGCATGCATGAAATGACCTTTGGAGTTTCGACAATTTTCAGTAAGTAATGATTGAAACTCTTGTGATACTAGTCATTTTAGCTTTACTGTTAAGACAGATTTTGAGAAAGACAGTCAGGCCCAGCCCCCCATCTTGTTCAGGTTGGTACTCTTCCAACTTTGGCCAAACCTTTACGACAAAACCTCATCCCACAGATATCCAGACTGGACAAATCACAGTGCTCCATAAAGGAAACTGATGCATCTGTGGTCATATAAAGAAACCACACAGAATTTTATCCACAATCCAAACAAGTATTTTGTGATATGGTGGACTTTTCAGTGTCTCAAGAGCAGTCAAAACTTTCTGCACTTATAAAGGCGTTTCAACTTATATGCATCAGTGGGGCTCATTTCCATTCACTGGCCAATTTAGTACTGAGGTAGCTTCGTGACAATTATGTTTTCCATGTTTTTGGAGAAGAAGTTTTTACCGTAGTGCATCACTGATAAGTAGTCACATGGGGAGTTGAATTTTGCACTTGATTTTGGGGTTAATGTCTTGAA